TTAGAGAATTGGAGATGACAAAAAAAATATAATCATGAATCATCAATGTTAAGCAAAACGTCTGTAAACTTATGAACAAACCGAATCTCGTGATCAAATGGAAGAAGAAAATCTCCAGACTCTTGATATTATTGTCACTTGCTGCAGGCCAGCTTAAAAAAATTGCGTAAAGAGTAGCAAGTCAACAAGCCTTGCTGTTTGCTTATTCCGATAGTTGGCTTGGATTTTTCCTGTAACTTGTTGCATCTCCTTGGCTCCAACAAGTTACAAGAGCAAACATGGCGAACGCATATTTATCGAATTGCGCGAACGTGATGATTGAGCGGATTAATACTTCTCAAGAATTGGTAGAAGTATGTAAGGGAAAGTCCTCCAGTGCATTGCTGAAGAGATTGAAGGTTGCTTTGGTGACTGCGAACCCAGTGCTCACGGATGCTGAGCAAAGAGCGGAACATGTTCGAGAAGTAAAACATTGGCTTACAGGAATCAAAGATGCTTTCTTCCAGGCAGAAGATATTCTTGATGAGTTACTAACAGAAGCTTTGAGAAGAAGAGTAGTAGCTGAAGTGGGAGGCTTAGGAGGACTATTCCAGAATCTCATGGCTGGTCGCGAAGCCATCCAGAGAAAGATAGAACCAAATATGGAAAAAGTAGTTAGACTACTGGAACATCATGTGAAACACATTGAAGTTATTGGATTGAAAGAATATAGTGAGACTCGAGAACCACAATGGAGGCAAGCATCACGGTCAAGACCTGATGATCTTCCACGAGGCGGAGTGGTCGGGCGAGCAGAAGATAAGCTAGCATTAGTCAATTTGCTGCTTTCTGATGATGAAATAGGCATTGGGAAACCAGCTGTGATCTCCATAGTGGGTATGCCAGGGGTTGGAAAAACTACCTTGACAGAGATAGTTTTTAATGACAACAGTGTGACCGAACATTTTGATGTTAAAATGTGGATCTCTGCTGGGCTAAACTTTAATGTCTTCACGGTTACAAAAGCCGTTCTGCAGGAGGTCACTTCAAGTGTAGTTAATACTGAGGATCTACCTTCACTTCAAGTTCAGCTGAAGAAAACACTATCAGGGAAGAGATTTTTACTCGTTCTGGATGATTTTTGGTCTGAAAGTAATACAGAATGGGAAAGTTTCCAGGTCGCCTTTAATGATTCAAAGGAAGGAAGCAAGATCGTTCTAACCACTCGAAGTGAAATTGTCTCCACAGTCGCACAGGCTGAAAAAGTGTACCGAATGAAGCTGATGACTAATGAAGAATGCTGGGAGCTGATCTCTAGAACTGCCTTTGGAAGTATATCAGTGGGTTCTATCAACCAAGAACTAGAAGGAATTGGCAAAAGGATTGCAGAACAGTGTAAGGGCTTGCCGTTAGCTGCAAGAGCCATCACATCTCATCTTCGGTCAAAGCCAAATCTTGACAACTGGTTTGCTGTATCAAAGAATTTCTCGACCTACACCAACATTATCCTTCCAGTTCTTAAACTTAGCTATGACTCTCTCCCTCCTCAACTCAAGCGATGTTTTGCCTTCTGTTCAATATTCCCCAAAGGTTATGTGTTTGATAGGGACGAATTGGTGCTTCTATGGATGGCAATAGACCTCTTATACCAACCAAAGAGTAACAAAAGATTGGAGGAGATTGGTTACGATTACCTGGATGATTTAGTTGCTCGATCTTTTTTCCTGAGGTCGGACATCACCATGACAAGCTTTGTGATGCATGATCTCATGAATGATTTGGCTAAAGCTGTCTCAGGAGATTTTTGTTTCAGACAGGAAGATGACAATATTCCGGAGATACCAAGCATAGCTCGACATTTTTCATTTTCTAGAAGCCAATGTGATGCTTCCGTGGCTTTCAGGTCCATATGTGGAGCTGAGTTTCTGAGAACAATTCTTCCGTTCAACGTGCCAACGGGCCTCGAATCTCTCCAACTAACAGAGAAAGTTTTGAAGCCTTTGCTTCAGTCATTGAGCCGCCTACGAATTCTTAGCTTGTCTCATTATCAGATAACTCACTTGCCTAAATCATTAAAGGGTTTGAAGCAGTTACGGTATCTAGATCTGTCAAGCACCAAGATAAAAGAGCTCCCAGAGTTTGTGTGTACCCTCTGTAATTTGCAGACACTGCTATTGTCAAATTGCCGTGACCTCACAAGCCTGCCAACAAGCATGGCCGAACTCATCAACTTGCGCCTTCTCGACCTCGTTGACACTCCCTTGGTAGAGATGCCAACAGGAATAAGAAAGCTGAAAAGCTTGCAGAAGTTATCTAATTTTGTTATAGGAAGGCTTAGCGGTGCCGGATTGCATGAGCTCAAAGAACTTTCTCATCTCCGAGGGACACTTTGCATCTCTGAGCTACAAAATGTGTCCTTTGCCTCAGAAGCAAAAGACGCTGGTTTGAAAAGGAAGCCATTCCTTGATGGGTTAATCCTGAAGTGGCCTGTGAAAGCTTCTAGCTTCGTCCCTGGTAGTTTTAATGCATTGGCCTGTGACCAGAAAGAGGTCCTGAAGATGCTAGAACCTCATCCAAACTTGAAAACCTTCTGCATCGAGTCTTATCAGGGCGCAGGATTTCCTAAGTGGTTGGGTGATTCTTCATTCTCCAATATTGCATACGTCACTCTCAGTAGCTGCAACCTCTGCATATCACTGCCTCCAGTGGGGCAGTTGCCTTCACTCAAGTACCTTTGCATTGAAAAATTCAACATTCTGCAGAAGGTTGGTCTAGACTTCTTCTTCGGTGAGAACAACTCTGGCTTTGTACCGTTTCAGTCCTTGCAAACTCTAAAGTTCTACGCCATGCCGAGATGGGAAGAATGGATTTGTCCGGAACTAGAAGGCGGGATCTTCCCTTGCCTCCAAAAACTCATAATACAAAGATGCCCCAGCTTAACAAAAAAGTTTCCTGAAGGACTCCCATCTTCCACTGAAGTCACCATCTCCGATTGCCCCTTAAGAGTAGTTGTTGGAGGAGAACATTCCTCCAGAAGGAACCCGACAAACATTCTAGAAAGTGAAGCCAGCATTCCTTCTATGAGCAGAAGTGAACTGTCTTCCCCTACAGGGAATCCAAACTTGGATGCGAGTACAGGTACTCAACGAGGCTTAGCTACAAGTAGTCAAAGTAATGATGACACTGACGTAACTTCGATATCAAGCCTGTCATCATCTTTGCCAAAAGACCGTCCACTGTCACAAACAGAAGTTCTGGAGCAATACGAAACTCAGTTTGAAAGCTCACATCAGAATATCGAAGAACCAGCTGTGATCTCGGCAAGATACTCAGGATACATCTCAGATATACATAGCTCGTTAAGTCCGTATATCTCACGAAAATCAGTTCTTCCAGATCCTATAAACGAAGGCCCTGGAAGTAGTAGCTACCAGTACCAGCAATCTGAAAAGCCATCCCGTCGGAGTCCACCGTCAAGCGATGCAGACAAACGAAGGTATTCTCCGTATGACAATGATGAAACAACAGACATGGAGTTTCTAAAAGTGACAGATATCTCTCACCTCATGGAGCTTCCACAGAGTCTACAGTCACTCCACATCGAAAGTTGCGACGGACTAACTTCTTTGCCGGAGAGCTTATCTGAAAGCTACCAAAATCTCGACGAACTCATCATCGTTTCTTGTCGATCTCTGGAATCATTCCCTGGAAGCAACCCTCCGATCACATTGAAAACCCTATACATAAGAGACTGCGAGAAGCTAGATTTCGCAGAGAGTTTGCAACCAACTCGTAGTTACTCGCAGCTCGAACACTTGTTCATCGGAAGTAGCTGCAGCAACCTCCTCAATTTCCCTCTATCGTTGTTCCCGAAGCTGAAAAGCCTCTCGATTAGGGATTGCGAAAGCTTCAGAACATTCTCGATTCACGCCGGACTCGGAGACGACCGTATCGCACTCGAATCCCTAGAAATTAGGGATTGCCCAAATCTGGAAACTTTCCCACAAGGAGGACTCCCAACTCCGAAACTCTCTTCGATGTTACTCTCAAACTGTAAGAATCTCAGAGCGTTACCGGAGAAACTGTTCGGACTCACTTCTCTATCGTCACTGTTCGTAATCAAATGCCCAGTAATCGAGACGATCCCTGGAGGTGGGTTTCCGAGTAGCCTTCGAACACTTTGCATCAACTTCTGCGATAAGCTCACTCCTCGAATCGAATGGGGATTGAGAGATCTGGAGAATCTACGAAATCTGGAGATCGAAGGAGGAAACGAAGACGTTGAATCGTTTCCTGATGAAGGGTTACTCCCAGAAGGTGTTTTTTCTCTGAGGATAAGCCGTTTCGAGAATCTCAAGAGTTTGAATCGTAAAGGGTTTCAAGATACAAAAGCTCTAGAGACGATGGAGATCAACGGCTGTGATAAGCTACGGATATCGAT